ATTAAGGTCCTCTCTGACACTTAGGGCAGCTAGGCATCACAGTGGTTAGAGTGCTGGACCTGGAGTCAGGAAGACTCATCTTCCTGAGTTAAAATCTGGCCTCAGACACTTACCAGCTATGTGAGCTGGGCAAGTCACTTAGCCCTGTTTGCCTGTTTTCTCATCTGTAAAATGAGCTAGAGAAGGAAACTGCAAACCACTCCAGTATCTCTAACCCAGCTGCCTCTAGCAATCTTGGCTAGAAAAACAAAAGCCATTTCAATCAGGTTCCTCCCAGTCTGGCCTCCCCCTTGGAAACCAAGCCAACCTTAACTTTGATGAAGAAAAGCAAGGACAGGAGACTTGTGCCCTGGGGAGGGCCTAGCCCAAGTTGGTTAATGAGCAGATGCATTGGGGGCTAGAAGCGATCACATTACTCCCCACACCTTTAGTAACTGCCAACTGAGTAAGACTAAGCAATGGGGTTTGACAAGATGGGGAAAGGATGGATTACAAAGTAATCAAATGATACAGCATAACATTAATTTTCTTCAGGATAGCAAGTTCATGGTAGATGAGGATTCAGGTGAAGGAAATGGGCCCATTGAGCATGGAGAACAATGAAGATTTTGAGGGATATGAGAGGTGGCTTCAAGTCTGTGAAGGACTGTCACGAGAAGGGAGTTGTTCTGTTTGTCTTCAAAGGGCAGGATCAGGAGCAGAGGGTAAAACCTACAAAGAAGGACCTTTGTCCTCGTGTCAGTGAAAACATAGCAGTTTGAGCTGTCCAGAAGTGGAAGGGCCACCATAAGAGGAGGTACAACAACCACTAGTCAAGGATAATGTAGGAAGGATTCCTTTGGGGGATGGGTCCTTTCTAACTCTTGAATTCTGTGACTCCTCAGCTGAGGACCTCATCTCTTATTTTACCAAGAAAATTGAGTCCATCTATTAGGAATTCTCTCTTCCTGTCACTTCGGTACCTTGAGTCTCACTACTCTCTGCTTCTAACCCTAGTCCCTAGTCTCAGAGAGAAATGTGGCCCTTACCAAGGCCAACCCTGTCTGTGCTTTGGATCCTCTACCCAGCTTACACCTTTGACCATCCCCTTCTGTTATCTTTAATCTACACTGCTGGCAACATGACCAAATCAATCAACACACATTTATTATGTGTTTCTCGTACTGTGCTAAGTGCTGGGATTTCCCCCATTCTTAAAAAAATATTTACTTCATTCAGTCAGTCCCTCAAATTATTGTCCTTTATTTCTTTTTTTGATGTCAAATTCTGAAAAAGCTTTATATCCTCATTTCCTCCACTTCCTCTCCTCTCAGTGACTAATCAACCATTTTCAGCATCTTCCCTACACCACCACCAGGGTCTTTCCAAAGTTATCAAATATCTTCCAATAGCTAAACATAGGACTCTTTATAGTCCTCATTCTCCTTGACTTCTGCAGCTTCTGACTCTGTTGAGCACCCTCTCCTCCTAAATATTCTCTCCTCTCTAGGTTTTTGTGATACTGCTCTTTCCTGGGTCTCTGCTAACTTGACCTCTTTGCCGATTCATCAGCCATGTTATATCCACCAACTGTGGACTCTGTTCTGGATCCTCTCCTCTTCCTCTTAGTGATGCCATCAGCACTCATGGATTCAATGATCATATCCATGCAAGGGATTTTTTTCTGGTATGAGTTGGACTAGATGGGCACTGTGTTCCTTTCCACTTCTAAAGTCCTCTGCTTCTGTCTTTGTGATGCGAGTTAGGACGCAATTGGTATTAGATCAAGAAAATATGTACATGTATGTAAAAATCAATAGACATGAGGTATCTCATACTATTGCTAGAGTGAGATTGGGAGAACAGATGACCGAGTCATGGGAATAGGAGGTGACAGCGATGTGCTTTGGGGAATTATGGAGTCCTCTATATCCTGGAAACTTGGAATTTTCACTATGTTTGGCACTCTAAGCTTGCATATGACCCACCTCTGAAATGAAGAGAGCCTATATATGATGTAGTCAATGTGTTGGCTGCTTTTGCTGAAGGCTGCATGGGTAATACTCAGAAATGAGTGTGATATAAAAACAAAAGGTGTCAACTTAAAAAGAATGGAATGAGATTTTCTTTACTTTTATTCTAAGGCACCTCTGAGTCTGGCCTAACCACACATCAGAGTTGCCCACAGTAGACCAGATGCACAAACTACATGCACACACATCAAGATTATACACAGTAGACATAATGCACACACCTAGCATGCAGTAGGCACTTTAAAATACCTGCTAGCTGACTGATGGGTCACATGCAAAAACAAAAGACGCTACATTGCCTAAGGAAGCTGTATACAAGATGGAGATGTGATAGAAGCAGAGCTGGATGTGACACCAAAGGGATGCGTGAATCCTGGCTCTGCTGCTTACTAAGAGTGTGACCTCAGGGAAGACACTTTAACTCTGTGGGCCTCAGTTATCTCAATTATAAAAGGAGGGGGTTGGACTACATGATGACAAAGGTCCCTTCCAGTTCTAAATATAGAACTGGAAGTTTCTAATGTGAAAATATGAGAAAGCCAGGCAGAGTTGCTAGGTCTGGTGAAGAAAAATAACAATAAAATGGTTTTTGTTCTGCTTTTTATCTCTCTTCTTCTAAACGTGAGGTCTTTGTCCAAAGGCCAAAAAGAGGTCAGAACTATTAAATGAATGGAATCATACCAATCTTGACATTCTCACTATCAATGGAGCTAGAAGACAGCAAGAATTTCTAGCTAAATGGAAAAATGGCTCACAAGCTCTCGACTGAAAATAAAAGAGGTCAGTAGTGCTTGTTTTATTGTGTGTCCAGAGGTAACCAAAAAAGCCCCACAACATTTCTTGGGACTTTGGTCATTTTCTGTTGCAAAAACAACACCATGGAAATAACTGCTGCTTATCCCACAACTTTTGTGAAAGATGAAGTTGCCCATGGATCACTCAATGTGACTTCCTAAAACTGTGATATCTTTTGCTGTCTTTAATACAAAATTGTAAATATAGAAGGATGACCAAAAAAAGGCCAGAAATACAGATCTTAAAAAAGGAATGAGGGAAGCTGAAGATATCTGTGCCAGACTGAACTTTCACATTTACAGATCATCAGTCATCTCTTCAAAAAAAGCACAACGTGTGGGGGCATAAGAAGGCACGTAATCAAATGAACCAAAATTGCTAACAGAGCTTATATGCAAGATGAGTATGGAAATGATGCCTAGGATGTATTTAAGTCACTTGGTCCAGATAAAATGCATCCACAGGTCTCGAAAGAACTGGCAGATGTGACTGTTGAGCCACTGTCAGTGACATCTGAAAGACAGTGGGAAGAGAGGTACCACAATACTGAAGGACAAATGCTGTTTCAATTTTCTAAAATGGGGAAAAGATCAGAGTATGCAAATCATAGATCAGTGAGCTTGACTTTTGATTCTTAGGAAAATTTTAGAACAGATGATAAAAGAGATGCTTAGTGAGTATCCAAAAAAGGAAGGGGATCACGAGAAGCCAGCAGGGCTTCATCCAGAACAAGGCATTCCAGAGTAAACTTACTTCCTTTCTGGGCAGTATTACTGAACTAGTAGATGGGAGGAATGCTATAGATATAAATTACCTATATTTTAGCAAAATGTTTGATAAAATATCTCTTATTATTCTTGTGAAGAAGATGGAGAAATGTGGATTGGACGATAATACATTAAATGAATTCAGAACTAGGTGGATGGCCAGACCCAGAATGGTAACTAATGAGGACATGTCCGCTTGACAGGAGGTTTTCAGTGGTGTCCCCAGGGATATTTTTTTGAATGATCTATTGATGTTCTTTTTTTTTTTAATGTAGCTGTCAATTTCCACTGACTCCCCAACCTACTTCCCAACAGAAACCTCCGTTAAAACAAATAAGTGGGGTTAAGCAAACTAAATCGAGACATTGGCGATACAGGATAAAGAGAAGAAAGCAATGAGCAGGATAAGATTTGTTAGTGGGGCTGGAAGGAGCTCAAGGAGAAGGGAGACAGAGGGTCCATTGTAATGGGGGCAAACACTAAATTATTAAATGCCCCTAGGAAAGAGCTAAAAAGAATCAGATTCTTATATATCTAAGGAGAAGACTATGGGTCCAAGCATGAGCCACAGAGTATTTAATTAATGAAAAACCCCAAAGATTTACTCCATAAGCTCAGAGTTATGATTCTGGGTCATGGGGCACATATATTTATTTGCAAAGTCAGACATGACTGAACAACAACAAAACAAAAAAATTTGGAACATCAGAATGCATGAGGGGAAGCAAGGTGAAGTAACACTAGAAAGGCAGGTTAAAGTTCATCCAGAAGAAGCTTCAAATGGCAGAGAACTTGGTATTTTGCACTAGAGGCAAAAGGAGCCACTGAAGATTCCTGAGGGGGGAACAACACAGAAAGGCCTGTGCTTCTGGGTGATTATCTTAGAAACTGGAGCACAGGCAGACTGGGAGCAGGGCGATTAACTAGGAAGCTACCGCAGTAGTTCAGGTGAGGGATGATAATGGCATGAATTAAGATGGTGGCCATGTGAGGAGAGGATCTGATGCTAGACATGTTGTTGGGATAAAACCAACAAGACTTAGCGATGACCTGAACTCAGAGAGGATTAACAATGAATGGGACAACAGACACAAAGATCAATCAGGAAGGAGAAGGGATAACTTCCTCTGTGATGATCAGGGAAAAGGGCAGTGAACTCCTTTTAGATTGGAACAAAGTTCTCAGTAAATTAATAGTGAATCATCTGCTGCAAACGTGGAGGGCAGGGGAGGGTGGTGACCAGGGACTGGAACAAAGAGAAAAAGGTTTGGAACATCTATTGCATGAACATAGATGGATTTTTGAAATTTGGTTTGTCTACAGGGTTTCCCTTAGATTGAAATTTCTACTTTCTGAAAAAGAAAGCACTCTGGCTAAAAAGCTCAAACTCATTTCTTTCAAAAGGCTCTACCTTCATAAAGCCTGTCTCCAGTGTGAATTCTGTAATGTTGAGTAAGTTGTTTGCTCAGGCGGAAAGCCTTTCCACATTCATTACATTCATATGGTTTCTGTCCAGTATGAATTCGCTGATGTTCAGTAAGTCCTGTCCTCAAACGGAAGGCCTTCCCACATTCATTGCATTCATAAGGTTTCTCTCCAGTGTGAATTCTCAGATGTCCAGTAAGTGCTGTGCTTTGGCTAAAAGCTTTCCCACATTCATTACATTCATAAGGCTTCTCACCAGTGTGAACTGTTTGGTGTTGTGTGAGGTTTGCTCTTTGGCAAAAGGCCTTCCCACATTCATTGCATTCATATGGTTTCTCTCCAGTATGAATTCTCTGATGTCGATTAAGCTGTGTGCTCTGGCTGAAGGCCTTCCTACATTCACTGCATTCATATGGTTTTTCTCCAGTATGATTTCTCTGATGTTCAGTAAGTCCTATGCTTAGACGGAAGGCCTTCCCACATTCATTACATTCAAAAGGTTTCTCTCCAGTGTGAATTCTCTGATGTTCTGTAAGTGCTGTGCTCAGGCGGAAGGCCTTCCCACATTCACTACATTCAAAAGGTTTCTCTCCAGTATGAATTGTCTGATGTCGACTAAGTCCTGCACTCCAACGGAAAGCCTTTCCACACTCATTACATTCATAAGGTTTCTCTCCAGTATGAATTCTCTGATGTTCACTAAGCCCTGTGCTCAGGCGGAAAGCCTTCCCACATTCCTTACATTCAAAAGGTTTTTCTCCAGTATGAATTATCTGATGTTGAGTAAGCAGTGTTCTTACTCGAAAGGCCTTCCCACATTCCTTACATTCAAAAGGTTTCTCTCCAGTATGAATTCTCTGATGCTGAGTAAGCCTTGTTCTCTGGCAGAAGGCCTTTCCACATTCCTTACATTCATAAGGTTTCTCTCCAGTATGAATTCTCTGATGTTGAGTAAGTCCTGTTCTCTGGCAGAAGGTCTTCCCACATTTGTTACATTTGTAAGCTCTCTCTCCAGTATGAATTCGCTGATGTTCAGTAAGTCCTGTTCTCTGGTGGAAGGCTTTTCCACATTCATGACATTCATAAGGTTTCTCTCCAGTATGAATTCGCTGGTGTACAATAAATCGTGTGCTTAGGCTGAAAGCTTTCCCACATTCCTGACATTCATAAGGTTTCTCTCCAGTATGAACTGTTTGATGTTGATTAAGTGCTGAGCTCTGGTGGAAGGCTTTCCCACATTCATTACAAACATGAGTTTTCTCTCCAGTATGAATTCTCTGATGTCGAGTAAGTTTTGACCTCTGTCGGAATGCTTTGCCACATTCATTACATTCATAAGGTTTCTCTCCAGTATGAATTCTCTGATGTTCAGTAAGCTGCGAACTACGGCGGAAAGCCTTGCCACATTCATTGCATTCATGAGGTTTCTCTCCAGTATGAATTCTCTGATGTTGTCTAAATTCTGCTTTCTGACTAAAGGCCTTTTCACATTCATGACATTCATAAGGCTTCTCATTAATATGAATTGTCTGATACTCCATAAGGCCTGAATTATACGTGAAGGGTTTCCCACATTCATTATACTCGCCTTCTCTATAGGTATCATATTTACAGATACTCTTTTCCTTATTGTTCTGAAGAGTTTCTAAATTGGCTTTAAGTTTCCAGGCATCTCCTAATTTGGAGACACATATATCAACCCTTGTTAATGTTTCCTGAGATGATTCTTTAAGAGCAATGCCCAGTTTTGGAGTTGAAAACTTGGTCTCCCAACCTGAAAAAAATTAAAAAAATTATTACCTCTATATCCTGCTACACACATATTATTGATTTCTGTATCCACCATCAAGAAATGTGGTTGGATAACTTTAAAAAGAACAAATAACAATCTTAAATTCCTAGGATAAAGTAAAGTCTTTCACGATTCTTCAAGTACTAGATAAATATGAATTGTTATTATCATCGCAATCAAGTATATTTTATGGAGGCAGTTAGGTAGAGTACAGAATTCTGTCCTTAAAGTCAGGAAGAATTGAGTCAAAAATCAGTTCTGTGACCTTAGCCAAGTCATTTAACTTCTGTGTATCTCTAGGACTAAGTCACAGACTAGTTGTGATTTGTATTGGTGGAAGGAGTTTCCTATACTACTTACAAAATCATAGGTAGCTTGATTGTACAATTTATATACACCCCCTAATACTTGGGTTTTCGTAGCTTCTAAAATTTTTTTTACATTCAAACTTACCACCACCTTGAGACGTAAGTCAGTTTTTATATATATATTTTTTAAGTGAGGCAATCGGGGTTAAGTGACTTGCCCAAGCTCACAGAGCTAGTACGTGTCAAGTGTTTGATCTGAGGCCGAATTTGAACTCAGGTCCTCCTGACTTCAGGGCCGGTGCTCTATCCACTGCGCCACCTAGCTGCCCCCTCTTTCTTTCTTTTTTTAAGCAATCAGGGTTAAGTGACTTGCCCAGGGTCACACAGCTAGTAAGTATTGAGTGTCTGAGGCTGGATTTGAACTCAGTCCTCCTGACTCCAGCACACACATAGGTACTCTATCCACTGTGCCACTTAGCTGCCCCAGTTTTTATATTTTCTAAAAGAAGAAACTGAGGCTCAGATTGACTTAGTGATTTGCTCACAATCTCATTGCTAATAAAGGTCAAAGCTCAGATATGAAGCTAGGTTTTCTTGTTGTTGTTCTACCCCAAGGGCCCTTCTTATTTCTCCATGGCACCTTTCTATAAAACCAAGAATATTTTCCAAGTTCTAAAGGGGCAGAATTTGAAACTGAGATATCTAACTTCTAGGATTTTTGTGGCCATGCTATGGCATCTCTCCACAATGGAATAAAATCTCTATTTCCCAAAATATTTAAGTAAATGATGGCTGAACAGCAGTTAGGGTACAATAGAAGAGATTTCTTCCTTGAGTGGGAGGTTGAACTGAATTGTTACTCAGTTTTCTCAAAAAGTTAAGGTGTTAGGATTCTAAAGAGTCTTTATTCTTCCTGCAGGTAAAGAGAACACAGACATAGGGGAGAGTAGGGGCTTTTCAACCCTCCATCTTCTCTAGCCTCCTTGGGTGGGGAGAGAGAGAAGAAAGGAGAAAGAAAGAGAGAGAGAGAGAGACGGGGGGGAGGGCAGAAAGAAATTCATTTCCAAAGGCTGCAACTGAAAGATAAATTGAAAAAAATAAGGAAACCAAAAGAGAATTCCTTCAAAGTTGGGACAGCCCAGAAATACAACAAAAGGGAGGTAGCAGATAGAGGCCCCATATCAATGCCTGTTTTGTCTTTATTACAGAGAAGGAAGATGGACAGGACCATCAGGGAAGCAGCCTCACATGGCCTGACCAGGGCTGGAGGAGTCCCCTCCCTAGTACTGGAGCCTGACCCCTACCTCACTAATGCTGTGGGCTCACAGGGCACTGACCCAGTGAGTGTGCTGGCCATACCTCCCTCTATTGTGCCTGGGAAGCAGATTTTTCTGAACACCCACATGTTCATCTTGAAATCAGCCAACCGTGCCATCTCTGCCTTCATTTGAGACCGTAAAAAAAGATGTTGAATAGTAGAGGACCAATGCCTGGGACATGCTGTTGGAGATCTCCCTGTGAGGTGACATCTACTCACTAATAACAGACTCTGGTCCTGCCTCTCAACTACCCCAAGTCCCCACATTTTATCTCAAGGCAAAGAAGGAGAGACTGTATCAAAGCCTTTGTTGAAATCCACATTTAACATTTCTGCATCCTTCTCCTGGTCTGCCAGTATCTACACTGTTCTACAGAGTGAAAAACAAAAAGGGAAGGAGATTAATAAGTTAATGATACTTTGATTCAAACTGACTACTGACAGGCTTTGATTGCTTCTCTTTGAAGGAAGGATCCCAGTAGAGAACTTGTGAATCTACACAAAATGGCTTCAACCTGAAAGTCTGAGAAGATTTTCAGAACTAAGCATAGCTTAGACAACATCAGAGAATTCACACTGGAGAGAAACCTTATGAATGTAATGAATGTGGCAAAGCATTCCAACAGAGGTCAAAATTTACTCGACATCAGAGAATTCGTACTGGAGAGAAAACTGACATTTGTAATGAATGTGAATGTAGAGGAATGTAATAAAGAAGATCTGAAAAGAGAAGGGGAGGATGAAAATGGCCTACATCTATTTGTCCAGCTAGATAGCATAGGGAGCAGCCAAAATAGCTCCAAAGGAAAATGCTCAGTAATTTAAAAGCAAGCCGAGAGGGGAGCCAGCAGCCACTCAACTTGCATGACCACAAGCACCCAGGGATGGGCAGCAAGGCCGGGCACGTAGTGTCCCCAGGGAGAGCGTGGAGAGGAAGCCCCCTCCCCTGCTGATGGCCTTCTCCACAGGCCGGGCAGCTGCCAGGAGGGGTCACTGGCCCCCCTGCAATGCGCCTCCCCTTACGTAACCGACCCAGCTGCCTGCACTGACTCACTCACCTGCACAGCTGCTCCCTGGTACATCTCCCTCAGGCATCCAAGGTCCTTCCCCTCTCTCCAGCTGGCAGACGACATCTGGACTGGAAACAGCAAGCCCTGCCCATTGGAAACAGGAGAGAGTTGGAGCCCTCAGCCCCCTCTGAGTCCACTCTTAGCCCTGGAAAGTACGCGTGCTGGGAAGGGCTCGGGGGGGCCCAGGGGCCCTTAGAAGGGCTCTTCGCTGGGGTCGCAGGGATTGGGGGAGAAGCCTGGCCCTGAGTGCACAGAGGGTCAGGGGACCACCACCCTTTCAGCTCCCAGTGTCCAAAGCAAAGACCTTTCCTCAGTGACCTGCCCCTTGGTCACAAGAGGGACCCTCTGCCCCTCCTTGGCAAACAGCCCATGCTCCAGACACCCCACAGCATTTACTACTAGAACAAAGCAAAGATTCTTCCCAGGGTCCTCACCTAGGCACACCAGGTTCCCGTAGTTCTCCAGCATCACCTCCCGGTACAGTTCCTTCTGGGCGGGGCCCAGGTGCCCCCACTCCTCCCAGGAGAAGTCCACGGCCACGTCCTGGAAGGTCACTGACCCCTGAAAGACCAAAGACACTTGTGCTCACCCAGGGACCGTCCCTCATATAACGTGGAAGGAGAGGGCATGCTGGCAGGACGCACAGGGAGTGGTGCTCGGTGTCTGGGATTCTGAATGCCATGGGTAAACATTTAGGGAGCACCTGCTGTATGCATAGGCCATCCCAGGTTCTGAATCATGCAGCAAGATGGCAGTTAACAGCAGCCCGCAGTTCTATGGCACTTTTTGGCTCGTGTAATTTGTAACACCCGTGTGAGGCAGGTGCCAGAGGCATCCACTTTCCCCTCAGAAATGGCTGTGTAAAGTGGTTTTTGTATAAGAAGCTGTGGACCCAGAATGAGAAGGAAAGAGATAGAGGGGGGGAAATCTTTGAAAAATAATATTAATTGACTGACAAGTATTTTCACTAAAAATCTGAGTCATAATCCTAAAGGAGTTGGCACAACTTCAGTTTGCAGCTGGGCTAAGTGGGATGACCGTGGGCGCCTGCTGCAAGGGTGAGAACAAGAATGCATTCGTGTTGTGCTCTAGATGTGGACCTTCCCCTAAGCCTCCTAAGCACCTCGTACAGGGGGGCCAAACAGCTGCCACTGTCCCTGTTTCACAGAGAGCAGACTGCCTCAACGAGCTGAAGTGACTTGTCCGCTGGGATAAACCCACTGTCAGACCCACTGGTCCTGACTCTGGCCTCAGTCTGGGTGCACCAGCCCAAATGAGGGGTACACCTGGAATCTGACACAGAAGTAAGGGGCAGGGCGGGGGGGGAGGGTTGCAAAATGATCGGTTAGTTTCCAATGTGTGCATTGACTTTTTTCAATGAAAACAAAGTTCAAATCAAAGACAGCAAAAGCAAGGCTAACAGGGAACAGAGAATGAAGACAGCAATGATTCTTCTCAGTGATGTGAGGGATGGGATTGGAGCCGTGGCACACTCAACCACACAACCATGGGCCACGGGGAAGCTGCACTGTGCCCTTCTGGGGCAAAGCTTTAGGGCTTTTAGCAGAAATGTGTCTTGTACTTTGTCCAAAGCTGCTTCAGCATCCACTGAGATAATCACATAGCAGGGGTGCTTTACCAGTGCCATGCCAGGAAACTGAATTGCTTCGATTCGAATTGTCCTAGGAAGATTCTGAAGATCACCTGGCAGGAGAAGGGAGGCCTTTCCCTGAACTAAACTGCCAAAAGTCAAACTCTGCTGCAGAGAGTGTGACTCCGATGGGCCGGCCACATTCGAATGCCAAATGCACGTTTGCCTAAAAGACCATTTTATGGAGAACCCCCACAGGGCAAGTGCTCACACTAAGGTCGGAAGAAGCAATGCAGGGACACTCTCAAGGTCTCTCTGAAGAACTCTGTAACCGTGAAATGGGAGACAAGGACAAGGGGGGCAGGGCAGGACCTGGCAGCCCAGCACAGAACCAGGCACACAGGAGGAGAACAGGACTGATCCCAAGGAAAAGATGAAGCCCCTCCCAGTTCTGGGCCCCTGCAGTGTGCTTCATGCCTGAGTGGGGGTCCCACTGGTCTTGGATGGGAAGGGGAGGACCCAGGAATGGACACAAGGCTTGGGGGGGGGTTCCTGCCCTTCCTCTCCAGCACTTACTATCAGTGTGATCCTGAGCAAACCACCCGCCCTGGCTGACCCTCAGCTTCTCACCTGTGAGGGGTCAGCCTCAGTGGTCTCACCTGTAAAATGGAGATGCCACTCCCTGGACTGCCTCCTAACAGGTGGGGGTGGGAGGGGACAGGCTGTGCTTGGTCAGACTTACCCTGGGAAACAAAACAGATGTTTGCTGCCCCTGTTACGAGGCTCCTTCTGTTTCCCTCAGGGCACAGCTGGCTGGAGACCTGATCACCCTGACAAGTCAAGGGGGTGCCTGGGGAGGGAAGAAAGGGGCCCTGGGGAATGGCTGGCTCGGGAGGAGTTACTGGGGCTGGTACTCCCAATCACCCATCGACGGGCCACCCCACCAGGGCAGAGCCTGACTGGACCCAAGGCCCTTCCAGCTCTGAACTGGGCCCAGGGTGGCCCCAACATTCCGGAGTAGAGGACAAGGAAAAGAAAGAAAGAATATTCTGTGCTTCCTTATATCCTGGGAGCTGTGCCCACATGTTAAGAACACAAATGGCATTTCTGGTCAAAGGAAAGCCCCACTTACCTGGTGTGCCCTGGCTATTAGGAGCCCAGAGGCCATTCTGTCCTTTCTATGTCTCCTCTTTGGGAAAAGCCAAGTCCTCAGAAGGTGGAACTGGGAAGGAAGAGGAACACTCTGCGGAGAGTCAGTCAACAAGCAGGCAGTAAGCTATAAACATGAGAAGGACAAAGCCAAGGGCCGGGGATATAAAGAAAGATATCTCCCTCGAGGGGTTCACATTCTAACAACTGGTCCTGCCAATCTGCCAAACAATTTGGAAGTGACAAAGATGCTCCTACCTTTTGACCCAGAGAAGTGCCCAGAGTCCCAGTCTGCGGCGTGTGCTTCCAGGTCCCCCAGATACCCTCAGCAGCAGCAGCAAGTGGCTAGAAGCAAATCAAAGGGCGGGCCCACTGACCGGGGAAGGGCTGGCTTCTCTGGCTTCCCTCGACTCAGCTCAGAGCCCACCTTCTGCAAGGAGGCCCTTGGGAAAGGTCTTCCCCTCAAAGATCCCCTCTGGACTCCTCCATATGTACCCAGTTAGTGCAAAGAAACCAACCTTTTCATTAAAAGTCACAAAGGTAGTGCTCTGCAGTCCCCCCCGGGATGGCCCGAGACCCCCCTACAAATTTAGAGTCCTCTTGATTCCCATGACACCCAAGCAGACTAGCTGGGGCTCAAGCGGCAGACCTGCCCTTTGCATCAGTCCGCTTGTTACAGGTTTCCACAGATCTTCTCTTATCACGGGTCAGGGCAGCTCAGTACATTTTAATGTAAAGAGGATCATTATGATCACATACTAAACACACACAGTTTAGGCTCCCAAGGCCTTGATTACTACGCTTTCTTGTTTGTTTCATCAGGTACACACTGGCTCCCCCAATAGACTATAAGCTTCTGGAGGGCAGGCTCTTGCCTTCCCTCTCTTGGTATTCCCCGTGTGCAGAACTGTGCCTGGCACACAGTAGGCCCTGGGGAGACTGAACGCCTAAGCAGACTGTGGAATAGGAATGTAGTGCATTGTTGATGCACCAAAGGTTAGGCACACAAAGAATTCTGAGAAGCCTGGGAAGATCTCTATGAACTGATGCAAGGTGAGGTAAGCAGAGCCAGGAAGACAAAACAGGCTCTGCGCCCAATGTCAACAGACAACTGAAAGAAAGCCCCTGCGTGACCGTGAGCAAACACAGTAAGAAAACACGTCCCCACCTCACAGCTGTGGGGGCTGGGGTGTGACATCTGCCCGTATTGTCAGGCCCCCGGAGGCAACTGCAGCTTCTGCTCAGCTGCTTTTCTCCCTTGCTTCTTTTAGTCGAGGTTATAAGGCAAACAGCTTCATCACACAGGCACGTGAATACAGTGGGGGTGGAAATGTGAACTGGTTCAACCTTTCTGGGAAAAGCATCTGGCACCAGGCAGGAAAGTCCCCCACTGGTTCAGAGGGTGCGCTCCCCCCGGGAGCCCCCCCAGGAAGCAGCAGGACCGTGTTTGTCTCTAGCGGCTCAGTCAGACGAACTTCTACCTCGTCCTGATGTTGGGGACATCCCTTCCCTCCCCCCTTTCAGCTCCCTTTTGTTTACCTGACTAGATGAAGCTTCTTGAGTCAATCAACAAGCATTTAGTAGGCACCTGCTAAGTGTAGAGTGCTGTGCTGCGTGCTGGGAACACCAAGAAAGGCCTGTGGCTTAACTGGGGACACACTGGCACACACAAGAAACTGACAGGCTAAACTGGACCAGGCCAACAGAGGGAAGGCACTGGAATTAAGGGGGATGGGAGCAGGCTTTTGTAGAAGGCAGGATTTTATCTGGAACCTGAAGGAAGCCGAGAAAGCCGGGAGGCAGAGGTGAGGACAGAGTGTTCCAGGCACGGGTGACAGCCACAGAAAAAGCACAGTCGGGAGAAAGTTTGCCTTTCTTTGTATCCCTAATGCCTGGCCCAGCACCTGCCCCCAAATAGGTTCGATTCAGTAAACATTTATTCAACACATACTATGTGCAAAGAGCCAGTTCCTGCCCTCAGGAAGCTTCCAATCTAATGGGGGAAGACCACACACTGAAGGAAGCTGAAGAGGGCTGGGGGGAGCCAGGCGGTGCCAGCTGCAGGGGCCTGTTGTTCTGTGGAGTCAAAGACAAGCTGGAGGAAAGATGGAGTTACCAGGAAGCTGTGGTACCTCCACCAAAGAAGTGGCAGAACATTTGGAGGCCTCTGTTTCCCCAGCTCAGGCGCAGCGAGCAGGCTGTGCCCTGAGCTTGGCATAGCAACAATCCTTTGTGCTCACCCGCTGGCAAAATGCGTTGCTTTGACCAGCACCAGGCGTTCTCTGAGGGATTTGTGATCTTCATGTGATCAATAACTGGGTTTGTTGGAGCTCCCCCTATTTCCCAGGCACCTGAGAGCCAGAAGCAGCTGACGTGCTGCAGCAGAAAGCCATCCATCACACCTCCTGACGTGCTCACAACCTGTTTCTTGTAACTGCCAAGTGAACCAAACCAGATACTGCACTCCTGTTCCCGCCACACTAAGTCCGGTTCTGTACCCTGCTGAATGATCACAAAGCTCAAGGACTGTTAGACAATGATTCCAGTCAACTTGGAGATTGCTCCCACAGGACCCGGGACTTGCATGCATCGCATGGGCCAGCCCTGGGAACTGTTTACTCAAGACCTAAGAATGACTGTGTTATGGTTTTCATGTGCCCCAGCACATCAAGCTCTCCTTCCTTCTACTTCCAAGCGTTTTCCTCACTCTGAAGTTAATTAAACTTCTACTTGATTTCTGGCTCTCCTGACACTAGCCTGCTTTGTTTGGCTCCAGCCGCCTGCAGGTTAGAGACCAGTTCCAGTCTAGTAGACAGAAGGCTTTGAGAAGAGTTGGGAGCTTCGCCCTCCAGCCTTCCAAATAGAGGGGAGAGGGGAAAGGGCGTGGGGGGAGTGAGATGCTGAAGAATATCAAACCCAAGTCACTGGTGGTAGTAATGAGACTTCAGGTGATCAGCCTATCCTGGGGTGGGGAGGTGGGGGCAGGGCATGTTGTTCTGAGGAGTTGGTCAAGCAGAGCAGCCAATGGAAAACTTGAGGGGAGTCAATGTTTTTTACTTGACTTGACCAGCCAGGAGGCCAGTGTCCCTGGCTCACAGGAACTGGAAGGGAGTGAAGTATAACAAGTCTAGAAAGGTGGACGGGCGGGGGTTGGAGGGGCAGGTTATGAAGGGCTTTGAACACCCAACAGAAGACTCTGTATTTGACCCTGGAGGTGACTGGGAACCACTGGAGTTTACTGAGGAGGGGTGACAAGGTCAGCCTGCCCTTTAGGAAGTTCACTTTGGCGGCTGAGTGCAGGATAATCTAGAGTGGGGAGAGATTTGAGACAGGCAGACCTTCTCCCCCCAATCCCCCCAGGAGCTATTGCAGTAATCAAGGGGTAAGGTGATGAAGGTCTGCACTGGGATGGGGGCAGCGTCAGAGGGGCATATTCAAGAGATGCTGCAGAGGTGAAATCAACAGGCCTTGGCACCATACTGGACATGAGGGTGAGAGAGAGTGAGGAGTCCAGGAAGAGCCTAAGTTGGGGGCCTGAGGGACCAGAAGGATGGGGGTGCCCTAGACCAGCTTTTCTTACACTGTGGGTCTTGACCCCACGTGGGGTAGAGAAAAATTTGTTAACAGTAAAAGGTTTCTGAATGAGCAGTGACCACACATTATGAATCTGACGTGTTTCTGGCAGTGCTTGCCCATGCAGCTTCACAGCAGCCTTGGTTCTGAACACAAAACACACCCACTTTGCCCTGTGCACACCCTCAGGCCACACAATGCCAATGAACACTGCCCAACTGCTAAAGGGGTCAAGAGTGGAAAAAGCTAAGAAGCCCTGCCCTAGACAGTGACAGGGAAGGTAGAAGTGGGGCAAAGACAATGAGTTTGGTTTTGGACATGATAAGTTTAAGGTGTCTACTGGACATGTGGCTGGAGATGTCTGAGAGCCAGCTGGAGATAGGAGACCACTGACTGACAAGGGAAAGGAGTGTCTTTCTTTTTCCTTTTATTCCTAATCCCAGAGTTTAGCACAGGAATTCCTTAATATGTACTTTATGTGATCTAATCCAATGTCGCCATCTGACCCAATGATCCCAAGGAAGTCAAAGTCAGAAAGAAACGTGCTCCAACCCAAATGTTCCTAAAGGCCCTTTTTGTGGTGGCAAAAGATGTGAAACAAGCAAGGTGCTCATTGAATGAGCCCACACCTCGGCTTCAGGCTTTCTCCCTGGCTGTCCTGCTGGCCTGGAATGTCTCCCTCCTCCGCTTTGAGGACTGACCTCCCTGGCTTCCTTTAAGTCCCAATTAAAAGCCCACCTCCTCCAGGAAGCCTTCCCTGAATCACCTTCGTGCCAGGGCCTTCCCTCTACTTATTCCCAGTTATTGGTGCATACATATCTTGTTGGCATGAGGTCTCCACAGCTAGATTGTGAGCTCCTTCCTGGAGGGCAGGAACTATCTTCTGCCTTTCCCACAGTGCTGGGACGTCCTAGGCACTGTGTGTTTACTGAGTGATTCCTGATTGAAACACTGCTTTGGGAAGTGATGGAATTTGGAGAGCCCCAGTGCCACCCACGTGGAGCAGGCAGTGAACGAGCAGGGCCAGAAGACTCCAATCATGCAGATACCCACAATGACGAGGAAAGGCAGGGTGCTGAATCCCCCTGCCCTCTTCGGAAAGTCTCAAGGGAGGGCCCTAGGAGCTGCAGGGGCAGTGGGGGGCCCCCGCAGGGTGGGAGCTGTGCAGAGGTATACCCCAAAGTACTTGGGGGTACAGGAGGCAGAGCACTGGGGGGTGTGCAGGGACACACACGCCCCCAAAAAGTACTTGGAGGTACAGGAGGTGGGGCAGTGGGGGGCCCCGCAGGGTGGGAGCTGAGCAGAGGTGCACCCCCGAGGTACATGGGGGTACAGGAGGCAGGGCGGTGGGGGACCCACACAAACTCCCGAGGGTATATGCGGGGACAAGAGGCTGGACGATGGGGAGCCCCAGCAGGTGTGGGAGCGGGGCAGGGCCCCTCCACCCCGCCCGGGCTCCCTCTCTAGGGACGCGACCCCCCAAGAGAAGGCGCCGGGGCGGGGTGGCGGAGCGAGTAGGCCGCTAATTGGTTGCCAGGTCGCGCCCCCCAGGAGGCTGACCAATGGGCGCGGAGAAGGCGTGGCAGCGGCGGAGTGCGCATGTGTGGTTACCTCTGGCACAGAGCTCCTCCCAGGAGGCTCCGGAACCGGGCGACTGGTACTCGGCACCCCCGCCGCCCGCGCGTCCGCCCCGCTCCCAGCTGTCACTCACCGTGGCCTAGAGTCGCAAGCTTCAGCGGCGGCGGAGAGGAAGCGGAGCGGAAGAGACCGCGAATGAAGAGGATGCGGAAGGAAAGAGCGAACGGAAGTCCATGTATCGCCTGCCCCTCACCCCTTGCCCGCGTCTTGCAAAGCCTTCTGGGAAACGTAGTCCCGAGGCTGCAGTGCTTTTGCGCATGCCCGGGTCCCATAGCTCCGCCCAGCCGGTGGAAGTGTGGAGCCCGTTCTCCGCTCCTGGCAGACCAGGGCGCACCTTGTAGGAAGGGACCTTGGGGCACCCGCCCTGCCTTCTGATGAGGCGGTGGTCCCGAGCGTCTGGCCAGTATGTACCCCTTCTCCCGCCTTCGGCCCCCGGCATCCCCCAAGTCCTGCAAATCCCGTCTGAGCCAAGGACCTCGGAGGCTTCCCAGTGCACCACATTCTGGGAGGATGGCCAGGGATGGAGGGGCGGAGGGAGGGACGGCAAACACCCGAAGCACAGAGCTGCCCTTTGAGAGGGGGAGGGTCCACATAAAAGGTGGGGAGGGGCTGGGAAGGAACTTCTGGCTGGGATCCGGGATGGGGGGGGCTTGTCCCAAAGCCGTGGGAGCATGGTGGGGGAGGGAGAGGGGATGGTCTGGCGTGGGCAGAGACGGTGGGTGGGCTGAGTGGGCGCTTGTTTACTCCCCTGGGCCGGCCAGCCGCACCTGCGGGAAGGAGAATCCATGGTCTGTGCTTGCACCCTGATTGATGAGGCAAAACTCAGCACAGAGAGAATTAAAAGGACCTTTTTGTAAGTAAGTCACGGTAGCAACACCAAGATCAGGGTGGCTTCGAGCCGGGGCCGGCTTTCCTAGGGAAGCCGAAGCCAATTCAGACAGGTCCGCCTGGGCAGGAGAGGAGGGGACCCATGCGTCTCAGCCCCTCCCCAGGGTCTCAGGTAGGGGCCCGTGACAAAGAGCCGGCGAGAGGAAAGCTGCAAGACTTGGTGTGGCCACTGGTGGATAAGCACGGCTGGGAGCAATGAGGAACTGAGTCATCTTGTCTTTCAACACACCCCTCCATTAAAAGGGCCTGGGCTGCAGCTCAGATTTGGGAACAGTGGAGAGGGACTCAGGAATCAGGAGAGCTGGATTCAAATCCTACCTGAGAAACTTAGTACCGGTGTGATCCTGGGCAGGTCTTTTCAACGCTCTTTGTCTCCGTTTCCTCATCTTGAAGGTGAGAGGTTTGCACTGGACAGCTCCTGAGATCCCTTCCGGCTCCATATCTAAGATCCGATGAAAAATGTCTTGTCTTTATGTCAACAGTTCCTTTGAGTGAGAGGGAAGGAGGAGAGACAGACAGACAGACACACACACACACACACACACACTGACTAGAGCCCTGGATTTAAATCCTGCCCCAGCCACTTACAAGTTACATTTACTAAATGCCAGGCTATGTGAGAAAGGCTTTACAGATATCTCCTTTTGACCTCACACAACCCTAAGAGGTAGGGGCTATTAGGATGCTCCTTCCCCAGGTGATAAAATGAATTGGTTGAATGACTTATCCAAGGTCACACAAGTAAGAATCATCTGAGGTCCAATTTGAAGTCAGGTTTTCATGGATTCAGGCAGAACGCTCTATCTGCTGTGCCACTGAGTTGCCACTGAAGGAAGAGGAAAGGCTTGCTTTAGCTGGCTACTGTCTCCGAATGTACCCACTTCCAGCTCAGCAACAATCGAAAGTCCGGGAGCAGAATCAGTTACCAAATGTCTACCCATGCTCCAAAGTCCACATAAAGAATGGTTCAGCCGTGCAGTGCTGTGCCTGCTCGTAAGGGTCAGTGTTCCTTTACAGCTGTGATAAGGATTCTTTATTTCCTTTGCTAGTGTTTGTTACTGGGGTTCAGTGCCACCTGTCTGGTTTAGGAGGCTAATGGCTGGCTGAAGCCTGTCTCATGGGATGTCAGTATCAAGGCCTTCAGAGATTTCTAGGATGAGAAGCCACAAGGGAGGAAAAAGGCATTTATCACACCTGCGATATGAGACAAGGCTTCCCAAAGTGATTTTGTTTCTTTTCTTTGTAGAAGGATCCCAAGCCGTTCTGAAGCTGGTTATCTTCTGGCCCACAAATCGCCTCTTCCAATTAGCCATTGTAAACTCTCTGGATGTAACCTGGAAGGGTAAATCTCCTCAGCCTAACCTTGGAAAGTAATTCCTGAAGTTTAGCTCCATCAGACTTTGTTTCTCCTTCCCCTGGTTGATGAGGGAGATTCTGCCTCCCTTGTGAAGGCCGTCAAACAGAGATGGCTTCTCTGTCCCTCTGACAAAATTGAAAACCAGGCAGGTTTTGTTAGAACCCTAGAAGAGTTTCAGAGTCTTTTTTCTGAGCTCTGAACCCGTGCTTAACCATAGTAAAACCTAGGTTTTAACCTCTGGAATCTCTGTGCTGATACTGGGCAGCAATTACATCTCACAAGAACCCAGTGGGCATATTTTGTGACTATTAGTGGAATAAGAGAAGATCACTGTTAGATCCACAGAGCCCCCTGCTAGCCTTCTGTCCATGGTGCTTCCACATTGGCAGTAGGTAGCTTTGGGGGCTGGCTCCAGCAGGGGGCACTGTGGGAATACTGTGGGTGAATCATGATTAAGGCTTGCTCTCAGCTGAGAAATCACCCAACCAAATCCAGAGTGGGTAGCAGGCTCTGTGTGTTCATGGGTGCCCAGGACCCCAGCAAGTGTTTCCTCTCTGGGCCCAGTGGGGCAACTGCAGTGCCATGCCGTACCCACTTAAGACTACCCAGTAAAGTCCTCTGCATCAAAACCCCTGTAATGACACTTTGGAGAAATATTTGTATGAAGCAACCTTCCATTCTCCCAGGCTGGAATGGGGAGATGAGAGGGCCTGGTAGGAGCCCAGTCCTAGATGTAGGATCTCAGGAAGCAGAGCATCAACACCATGACTCCTCTCTTCATCCTCCTCACTCTCTGCAAAGGTTGGGAGAAAGACTCCTTAAGACATGCTGGAGGGGAACCTTAGTGGTGATGCTGTGGGATTTGGGCACGAAGCAAGGGGCCTTGGCAGCAATATTCCTGATGTGTCTGGAATAAATTCTAGGACGTGTCTGTCCTGTTGGTTCCAGGGGTCAGTTCTCAGGCTGTGGTGACTCAGGAGCCGTCTCTGAGTGTGATCCCAGGAGGAACAGTGACCATGACCTGCAGCTCCAGCACAGGGGCCATCACCTCTGGGCACCATCTTGCATGGATCCAGCAGAAATCCGGCCAAGCTCCTGGGGGCTCATTTACCATACCATCAATCTTGTATGAGGTGTCCCTGCCCAGTTGTCAGGGCCCCTCCTTGGGCACAAAGCTGCCCTCACCATCAAGGGGGCCCAGCCTGAGGATGAGGCTGACTATTATCGTGCATTGCATTACAGTGGTCCTCAATGCAATGAGAGACTCAGATGAAGAACTAAAACAAAAACCTTCTCAAGCCAAGCCTGTTCCCAGCGGCAGAGATTATCCCAGCTTCTGGCCTTGACGTGGGGTCTGTCTACACTCGCTCACTTTCCTGCCACTATTTGATAGATCAGTGCTAGCAATGGGTCCCCACCTGTGTGGTCCCAGGAGGTACAAGTGATTCCACTTACAGAGGGTTTTGGCATCCCTTCCAGCCCCAGCACCTTCTGTGGTCTTCTTGTACACCCCAGCCTGTTAGGCCCCTCCCAAATACAACTGCTATAATACCTTTCAGTGATGTCTTAGTTGTAGATGCTGTCTCCCTTTTCAGCACGTAGATGAGGGTGTTGAGGATCTTAAAATTAAAAGTGCCACTTTTCTGTTGTCTGTGAAACAAGTGATGTGGCTTATAAGAAAAAGGCAGACTTAGGAAAGTTGGTCCAAGCTGTGGGAGGCACCGTCCTGGAGAGGTCAAGGCTCTGCCATGGATTTACACTCAAGAGACCTTGGGGGAAGGTAGTACAACAGACATCTTCAGTAAATCTATGTGGTTCAGTCGTCAGTGATCCAGAACCAAAAACTGGCCCTGGAATTAGTTGGCCTGGGTTCAGATACTGCCTCTGCTACTTACTGCTTGGGAGAACTTGATAGAGGCCATTAACCTCCCCGTGACTGTTTCCTGCCCTAAGAAATAAGGGGTTGGATTTCATGTCCTGTGAAGTCCCCTTGAGCTTTGTGAAGAAGAATATCCCCAAAATAACGACTGATGTTTTTGTAACACTTACAAATGTAATCTCATAAAAATGGATAGTGATGGGTGGAGGAGGTTCAGGACAGACAGAAAAGGTGGATTAGGATAGATGGGAAAGAGCAACCACCTCAAAAGAATCCTTTTAGTTTCGTCTGTGTCCAGGACCAGTGTCAGGACCCTCAGTTTAGTTTCCTTAATGCCATCTTTTCCAAACCTCTCCTGTTAAGGTGTGACTCAGGTGCTAGCCCAGGGCTTTTTCCATACCATGCATCGGGGTGGACCGTTTCATCTCATTTCTCTGGAATCTGCTCTCCTAGCCTTGAATCGCTGGTTTGGGTGTGAAAGGCACAAGGAGGACCTTTCCTCCAGCGGGCAGCCCACCAGTTCATTCTGAGAGTACCTTACCCTGAAGCCCTGCTCAGAGTTTGCGTATGTTCCCTCTTCCCCTTCATTTCCCAGTGAGACTGTTTCTTCTAGAGTCAGCTTTGTGGGGCAGTGGATAAAGTAGAAGACCTGAATATACCATTTAACCATTCCGTAATTGGTGGGCACCCCCTCAACTTCCAAGTCCAATTCATCATGAACAGAGTTGCTAAGAATATTGTTGCACATTTAAGTCCTTCTCCTCTTCCTTTAGTCTCTTGGTCTAGATCACGGAGCAGTGCTGCTGGGCCGGGCGCATTGACTGTTGAATAGCGTTT